AGTTGCTACCACCGCTTTGCTACAGATGTGGACAAAGTCGCAGACCTCCGTTTGCAGATTGCACGTTTGCACAAACTTGACCAGGACAAGTTTGCGCATCCCTTAGTTGCTTGTTGCGTTGCTTGTTGCTTTGCGCTGTGTTGCTTTTGCTGGAGAGGGTTCGAGGGGTGAAACACATGTTCAGTGAACAACCTCCTAAGTAAAAACTTAGAGGCATGCAGCCCATTATGATAGTTGTTAACATTTTCTTGAACGCATTTGATTGCCACCTATGTTTGGCCAGTGGTTGCGCAGCACGGGGGTGAATGGAAATGAGGTGCATGGCCTCATCAAAGATTCGCCAAAAGATCGATCGCATGCCCAATCTTTGTTTGACCGTTCAATTTGCGCCAGTGCTTTTTGCCGGCTGATTGGCATTGGACACGCGCGGTTTCACAAGTTGAAGACTGCATCAGCTACAGGCAACGTGCCTGTTGATGGACGCTTTACAAAAGGGGTGAAGCGTAAAGCTGCGCCATCAGAAAATCGGCAACTTGTGTTCGAGTACCTGGAGGAGATTTACCAGTCTATCGCTGAACCCATGCCAGAGGTTTCAGAGCCCGGCGTCATGAGGCACATGGCTTTCAGGAGGCGGCGGGGCAAGCGCCCCAAGGTCGCATCCAAGCAGGCCAAATTGGACAAGTCGCAGCGACAGAAAATGAAGCTCTTACCACCTGGTACCTTCACTGACTACCTCAACCTGTTGCAAGTGAGACATCCATGGAGGAGAATCTCGTTGAAGCTTTTTTCATCGGTGCCTTGTTTGATACGTGTTTCTGTTTGATATGCGTGAAAGACTCACACTATTTGAGTTCATAACCGATCTTTATACTCAGTCTGCAGGTCTGGACTGAATCATATTCAGAGAAGTTGGCCATTCGTCCAGAATCTCAACATAAGCAGTGCTCTGTTTGTGTGCGACACAAAGCAATTCTGAGAGGTCTCGGAGAGGATCGAGCTGGGCGTACTGCTCAAATGGCCATGTACACAAGACATCTTGAGCGCCAATACAGGGATCGCTCCGAATATTGGGCACTTCGCGCTCAAGCACGCATGGGACAGTTGTTGCCGAACGGTGAGTTCACCTTGAATTGCATTGTAGATGGCTTAGACCATGGGAAGATGCGATTCCCAAGGACTTCATGCCTTTGCTCAAAGGACTATTCATCGTTTGTCAGGCCAGCGTTGGACCTCACGGCAGCCATCTGCCACGGCAGATCAGTTCATTTGATGGCCTCTCAGCCTTTCATTTGCAAGGATAGCAGCCTGACTGCTGACATCACCATGCATGTCTTGCACACAGCCAGCTTGCAGGTGGATTTGCGCTCATGCGCATTCCACCTGCAAGCTGACAACACGGTTCGGGAAACCAAAAACAATACAACCTTAAGGCTGCTTAGCATCCTGGTCTCGAGCCACCGTCTGAAGAGGGCATGTCTAAACTGCCGCCAGTCGGGGCATTCTCATGAGGACGTCGACGCCTTCCTAGCATTGGTAGCAAACAGAATCCAGGCAAGCAAGGAGATCCTGGATCAGCGCGAATTTTGCCAGAACCTTTCAGAGTGGCTAGCCGACAAGTCAATCAGAAAGTACGAAGACCGCCGGCAGGTGCATCTGATTTCAGCTGTTCGGGATTGGACGCTTTGTCAGGAGTTGCCACAGATTAGACTTTGGTCGTTGTGTAATTTTGACAAGTGACAAATGGAACATTATCTTCAAACTATCTATCCACCAAGAAAGCTAGCGCAAAGCAACTCCACCCTCCCTCAGACCTTGGCCACTAGCTTGGCCTTTCAGTGATCGGACACCGTTGTTCCTAAACTGATAGTTTCAATCCACTAGAGCTTTGGGATCATCATGTCCTCAACTCAACCCCTTGATCCAGTGCGAAGCTGGACCAGCTTCCCGCCCAGGAAGAACTTCCTGCAGATTTGGCTACATGGAAACCATCTCCAAGGGATTTCTGGTCCCAGAGAGGATCTCAGTTTCATGGTTTTGATGCTGGCAGGTTTCTCTTATGTTTCAGGTTTTCATGGTTCGGCCGAGTTTCATTTCAACCGCGACTGTTTGGCAGAACACTCCTCACACACCGTGTTTGAAACGTTTGTTGTGAGGCTTCAGACCTGATGAGATCGAGAGTTCTTTTTGGTCTAGGCTACGCCTCCCTCCTTCACCTTCAGATGTCATTCTCAGGACGATAAGCTGTATTCTTCCAGCTCTTCGAAATTGTCCCTTCACAATCACCATGTTTGTTGTATTTTGATGGTGTTGGGCAAAGCACCAATTCAAAAAGGACAAGTTTTGCCAGACAAAACAGTGGATGTCTGACACTGAATGGCAGCGCCCGATTCTGTATGTTCCACGAGCCGTGATTGATGAAATGGTGTCCAGTGTTGGTTCTATTCCTGAAGGCCGGATGTTTCAAACAAGATGCTGTACATTTCATGGTTTTCGGACCAGCCACTGTGCTTGGAAAGCGTCTTTCCCTGACTAGTTCTTGCTAGCCCGGAGACAATCGTGGCTCAGCGTGTTGCTGCGCTGGCATTTTGGGAGGTTGAGGCTCATCGCTTGATGCCGCTCACACTACAGCGCATTGCTGCTCAGCCAGCTGCCCTCCGCACCCTGTTGCTCGGGGGCGACGCTGAGTCAGGCGGCTCCAGTGCTCGGTCGAGTTTGTCATGTCGCTCTGTATGAAGCAATGCTCAAGCACTGTGGATCAGTTGATCAACATCTCCCAGATGATCTTCTCCGTGGATTCCCTATCGTCGGGCCTATCCAACGTTCTGGTCGATGGCCGCCGTATGACAAGCCCCAAAAGGCGCTCCCTGTGGCAGAAGCGTTGCAGAGGGCCTGGGATTTGAGAAGAAAGATTGTTCAACGAGTTCAGTCAGTGCCCATATCAGAGAACCTTCAAAAGATTTGGGATGCGACGATCGAAGACTGCAGTGAAGGTTCCTGTAAAGGCCCATGGTTCACTGAGGCGGAAGTTTCAGAGTTCTTGGCCTGCGAGGATTGGATACCGACGCAGCGGTTTGAAGTCGTTCAAAAGAATAAGGTCTGCAGAGGTTGTGATAGTGCAACCACCAACATGATCAACCAGGTGACTGAAATCACCGAGAAGCTCCAGTTGCCGTCCACAGATACGAACGTTTCGGCTCTCAGAATGCTTAGGTCTACGATGCCGCTCGGCAAATTTGCAGGCTGGGTTCTCGATGAGAGAAAGGCGTACCGACAAGTGGCAGTGAGGCCTGATCAGAGAAAATTTTCGGTTATATTTGCCTCAAGGACCCGTGTTCCGCTCGAACAGTTTTTCGTTATGATCGGGCATTCGTTCGGCTTAGTCTCCGCGGTTTATAACTATAATAGGAGGTCTGCCGCAATTAATGAGTGCCTGGTCAAGTTGTTTGGGCTTGTTGCGTTCAGTTTTTACGATTTAAATACGGGTTCGAGTCAGTGGAGTCAGTCGCCTCAGCGAGACTGGCTGCTGAATGTGTTCACACATGGCTAGGGGCAAAGTTTGATCAAAAGAAGCTGCAGTTGTCTGAGCCCCCCACAATTTTAGGGGTGACCTACAAGCTCAGATGCAGCTCGAAATCAAGGAAGATCGCAAAGCAGATCTGATCTCCGAAATTCGATCGATACTCAGTTCTGACTTGCTAGATCCAGGTACAGCAGGGAAGCTCAAAGGGAAGTTGATGTTTGGAGCTTCCCAGCTGTGGGGAAAGGTCGGCAGGGCTTACCTCCGGGTGATCTCTGAAAGCTAGGCAATACACGCGTTTCCCGATCGGACCCAATTCGGTCTGGACCCCCCACTACGAGTCGCTCTGAAACAGTGGCTGAAGTTACTGGATCAAGGTCCTCCCAGAACTATCGATCGTCAAGTTTCTAAGAAGCCGGATGCTGTGATCTTTACGGCCGGCTTTACTCCCGATCCTAGGACCCCAAAGGTGGATAGGTTGCCCGATCGTGTAGGCGCTGTTTTGTTCGATCGACGGTTGGCTCACCCCCGTCAGTTTACGGCGGTCGTACCAAAGAGCGCGAGTCGACGGTGGATCCCAAGGACGACGCAGATCATACCGATCGAGATGTTGGCACCTGTCTTATAGCCTTGGAAACGTTCAAAGAACGGCTCGTCGGCGCAGATGTCATTTTACTAATTGACTCTGAAGCCGTGGAAGCAGCTCTGGTGAAGGGCTACTCCAGCCGTGAGGATGTTTGTTCAATCATTTCGGTCTTTTGGGATCTTGCTCTGGTTTTGAAAGCAGAATTTTCATTGACAGAGTCTCAACGGATGCAAATCCGGCCGACTGGCCGTCTCGAAACGATCTACTCAAAGGAGAGGCGGCCGGTTGGCTGTCAGTTGACGCTCGTTGGCCAGATGGCCTCACCGGGTAAGTTCAGGGCCTGGGGAGTGAGTCTCAGTGTTCTGATTCGTGACAGATCCCCCTGCAGCTCTCAAATCTCTTTTGCTTGGTTTTTGTTGTG